TATGTAATATCTATTTTTTTATTTCCATATTTAAAAAAACTGCTGAAAAACTTTGTCTAATCAAATTAACTGACATGTTTATTTTCCATAAAATAGTATTAAACTTGAGTTCAAGTAGGAATTTGGATTGGGGTTTCAGTGCTTAAAAATTTATTTTGCGTTGGACACAGTTTCACAAGGTGAAAATTAATGACACCTAAATTGAAAGTTTAAATAACTGTCTTAATAGATGCAACACCTTGAGTGAGTCAAATGCAACACCAGCATCCAGCATGACGTGTTAAAAACATTAAATTAATTATATTTTAAGTCTCATTAAAAGGTAAACCTTAGAGTTTTTGCTCGCATTAAATATATCACTAATTATATATCTCTAAATATACATGTATATTTTTAACATACTTAAAACCACCATATAAATGCATATTTTTTCTGTAAATACATAATTTTGGCATATATATATATATATATATATATATACACACATACATAATTTCTGTTAATAAAATAAAATACAAAAGTTGCCATAATGTTGTCGTACATGCCAAATATATCACAATATATATATATATAAATAATAGTAAATAATTTTGTCGTAGTTCATGCCACCATATAAATTATATACATACATTATATACACACACACACACACACACATTATGCATTTACATAATGTATTTAATTCATACATTGCAATAAAACACAAAAGTTGCAATAACATCACCATACATGCCACTGTTTCATGTCCTGGTGTATCTTAAAGAAACAAATCTGCACTTCTCATTGATACAAAAGGTTTGTGGGTGTGGCCAATATGATCATATATGAACATATATATTTACATATATGTGTTATACATTAAATATTAACATATAGAATTGTTACAATAATATGATAACAATTATAATATATTTCTTTAGTAAACACTCAGACTAAACTCAATCCTTTCTTGCTGAGTCTCATAAGGGTCTTTAAAGACCTTGAGACCTAATATATATGCATGGAAAGCCTGTATATCATATGCAATTTCTCCATCTGACAGCTGAAACATTGCATTAAATGTTCCTCTCCTCCCGCAGGTCCGTGCCAGCGCCATCGCCCAGGACGCAGATCAAAACTACGACTATGCCAGCAACAGCGCTGTTCTTCATCTGGAGCCCGGAGACGAAGTCTACATCAAACTAGACGGGGGTAAAGCCCACGGGGGCAACAACAACAAGTACAGCACCTTCTCTGGTTTTATTATATACGCCGATTAGGACATATGCACCTACTCCAGACGGTCTATCTCGTCCCCCTCTGCTATTCCTCTTCCTTTCTTTCTTTTTTTTGCATAATTTTCCTTTGGGCCCAGGGCAAGCACACAGACCTGCTCAAACACCCCTCATCATTAGTCTGTAGATGTGGGCTTGAAGGCAGAACTCTTTGCCCTGCAATCCAAAAATCAAGAAAGAAAAAAGGCCCGGAGAAAGAAGCACTTCATCACAGAGGAAAGATGTACCGAGGAAACGAAGCTACCGAGGAGTTTACTGTGTGTCTTTCTATGTCTGTGGCCATCAAAGAAGCCTGTGAGATGTTTTCTAATATGTAACCTGACATAATCAGCTATATGTGCAATAACGTAAACTACGATGTTTGTTATTCAAAAACCATCTCGGTCATACCTCACTAGTCAGATGCCTGAATGAGTGGATTACCCGGGCAGCCGGGACCAAACATGGCAACGGGTGCCATCAGCGCGGCCACCTACAGCACTGTGCCCAAAATCGCCTTTTACGCAGGGCTCAAAAAGCAGCACGAGGGCTACGAGCTGTTGAAGTTTGACGACGTGGTCACGAATCTCGGGAATCATTACGACCCGACCACGGGCAAATTTACCTGCTCCATACCGGGAATATACTTCTTTACGTACCATGTGCTCATGCGAGGAGGAGACGGAACCAGCATGTGGGCTGATCTGTGCAAGAACAACCAGGTGAGCGCGCGCAAACACAACCTCACAACTTAAAGCACTAAATATTCTGCATACGACATAAAACATTTAAAGATTTTAACTAGTGACCTTGTTTTCTTTCTTTTCTCCCTATCAAAAATTACACGTGAGAAATTTTCTGTTCAGTTCCAAATGAAGGATTCTTACAGGCATTGCAGCTCTTCTGGGTGTGAAATATGTGCATTTGAAAACGTTTGAATTCACATGATTATATTTAGATAATTTTTGACCTATATGGATAAAACTCTTTTCCAAGGGGTTGTTGACATATATACTATGGGATAAAATGATCAGACCATCAAACCATGGGAAAGAAATCAATGATGACAAAGTTACTTGTGACTATTATTTATTATTAAATAGTTATATTTATGAATTATTTATTGATATAATAATAAAAAATATTAATACATTTTCAATTATTATTATTAACTCATTAAAATATTTCAATTAGACTAAATTAATTGTTCTTTTTCTCATAATCTGATTATATATATAAA